TGCCGGAGTTCACGCGGCACATTCGGCCGGGTCACAGCCTCCGGAAAACCTCCGACAAATACACCGGAAGCGGGGAAATTTATTACGTGGCGGAGTCATCGTTTCCCCGAAACCATAAGCGCACTATTACGGAGGGAGAATCGAACCGGGGGTTGGCTCCCCAAACGAGAGCAGTCTCCTCCGACTCTCCTCTGTCTCTAGGTATTGTCTGTACACGAGCCTGGCCCCTGTGGAAGCGAAACACGGAATAATAAATGGAAACCCCCGAGGGGAATTTGTTTGACATGCCGGACAAGCAGATATTACCGGCGCTGCTCGATTCATAAATCATAATCCACGGCGGAAAGTTTCTGTACGCGAGTCGGCCGCCATTACCGCGGCGACATTGATGGACTCTTTTTTTCTGGCTCGTCTCGAATTTAACGAGACCAAGCCCCTCGATTTTAGTCCCCTAGGTGCGCCGACGATTGCGAGACTCCAAAGTAACGCCTGAATTACGACAATCGATGGTTTATGCATTTCAGGATTATCGATGGAGTACTTAAGCCGATCCCATATGCCATGACTTTCCCACAAATCCGGAGAATGCAGCAACCCGATGAAACCGCCACGAAAGTGATTAGCGCAAATTTCGATTTAAGGTGCGAATAATTACGCAAACTTTGTTAAGATGCTCGGGAGAGGATTACAACTTTTCAGGGCGGCGGGTAGTTCTCAAAACGCCGGAAATGTGAGACGGTCTATCCTTTACGAGGTTGCCCTAAGTGACTCCAAAGTAACCCTTGAATTACGCCGAGGCTAATCAATGACTCATTTCAGACCACCGATGGACCACTCAAGACGATCCCATATGCCATGATTTCCCCATAAATCCATTTAAAGGAGTGACACGACGGGACCAGGACGATAGTGAGGAAATAGCGCTCCGGCGTTGGTGCGAACAATTATGCAAACTTCGGTGAGACGCTCTAGAGAGAATTACCGTTTTCGAGGGGGTGTGTAGTTTTCAAAGTGGCGGAAATCCGAGACGACCCCCAAGTAGCGGGGAGATTCGTATCCCAGAAGAGGGAGCGTTATCGAATGTGCAGAAAGTCCAGGAAAATCGGGGGCGTCCTCGATTTTTGTCCCTGGCCGGCAATTACGCTCGTTACTTCACTGCGACCCGGTATAACTGATTTTGGGACACAAGCAGGGCACATATCACGAGAGCACGGCTCGAGAGCAATCCCAGGCGAATACATTTGATACTCCACACGCAGCCGTGAATGCGGCGGCAAATAGCGCAGCTGCTGCGCGGCGGTACATTGCGGTCCCATATGCAAATCAAAATAGGTCCGGCCGCTTCCGCCCGTAATTTTCGGTCGAAAACCCAGCGAAGTGCATTAGAACTGAAATTCGTCCAGCTCGTTTTACGGGACATTACGTCCCACGAAATTCACCTAGAAACTTGCCGCGTGCTCCCGCGGCGACCCCGCGGATGTTTTACGAGGCTCGATGACACGTTATTTTTACCCGCTTCGCCGAAACGTATGATCGGTTCGGACGGTTCGCAAGGATTTTTCTGAATATTTATGCCAGCCTGTATATCGTTCCTATTTATGCCTACGGTATTTTCATCGCGCCGCTACGGCGGCTACGGGATTTCGCACGGGGCTGCGAACTCGATTGATTTTATTTTTCCCTCTTTTTGCTTGATATTTCCAAATCCGTGTAACGCGATCTGAGCGCATGAAAAAATTGGAATTAAATCTTGGGGGGGATTTTTCGTTGGTGTTTCTCGGTACAAGGGATCGTTGGGCATCGCGGTTCTTCATTTTGGGTCTTCGTCTTGGTCGGGATCTCGATATTGTCTCGTACAACGTTTTCTTCTCCTCGACGCGATGTTTCCCCTCGCTCGGTCGGATTCGTTCTTTCTTATGTACTTCGGAAAACGGAGTAAATCCTCCTCTTCGAAGTTTCGGTGCAGGCGCCTGCCTGGCGTCCGAGCTGCCGGAAAAATGCACCCAGAAAGCCGCGATAATTGAATGGTTCGGAGTTCGATTGGACACGTTGTATACGTAAGACGCGTCTTTGTGCTCGCCTGGAAAGTTGCGCGATACGAGGAGGGAGATGTGTCCGTCACAAACATCGGAGGCGCCAAGCTCAGCGAGCGATCACCGTATTTCTTAAAGTGTCGGCCTACTCAGATAACGACGGAACTCCGATATCCAATGACCCAGGCGAAGGCGAGAATCTGAATGCAACGTTTTCGAAATACCAGAAGTAAAATTCAGAAATGAAAATTATGATTCCCTCGGGATGCATCGCGACGAGCTCTGATAAGCTTTGGGATACAAGAGCACGTTTGACTACCATAATCCAAAATGACATACGACACCTCTTCTATATTTTCTATTTTTCCCCCAAGAGATATAATTTTTCCCCACTTCTGCCAACTTCTAATTACACCGTGTACCGACATTGTTATCTCGCTTGTCGGCGATATCGAGTTTCGCTTACCAAGGGGTGAACTTCACCGAAGAAGTTAACAGAGTTCGACGTCCCGGCATATCGGGTTCGCCGATTCGTTTCGGAAACATTATTTTCACGCGAGATGCAATTACACGCGGCTCCGGCAGTGTCGGCGTTTCGCGGTATAGAAATTAATTACGGAGCGGTCAATTATACTTCAACGCCGTAACTCGGACACGAACGTAGAACATGGCTGGAGACCCGGCAAAACGTGGAAAAAAAAAGGGGAAAAACGAGGAATAATCCGGGGGAATTATTCCTCCGCGACATGGCGACGAGGAGCGAGCGAGGAAGAAAAACAAGCATATTAGGGTCGTCCTTAAAAAAGAAAAAAGGGCATAAAAAACCGGCCAGAAATTTATGGCACTCGCCGTCCGATTTTTGCGTACTCCCACGAGAGAGAGAGAGAATCGTCCGGAAATTTATCTCCCAGATCCGGAAACGTATTAATAAATAGAGATCCGCGCAATTTGTTAAATTGCTTGGAAGTTGGCCAGTTGCGACTGCGAACCATACTCCCATATATGCGAGAGGGTCGAATCGATGCGACATGATTCATAAAAAGACGGTCGCTGAAAGTGTCGCAAATGACGTGGCGGTTCCACGAGACGATTTCCGCAAGAAGAGAACGGATGTCGGCTGTTACAGCGATCAGACAACCAGAGAGGCGAAAGAACTCGTATTACTCTGGCACTTCCATTAAACAACCTGCAGGTAAAAAATTCTTAGAAACAATTAACGGTAACTAACCGCAGTATGAATTTTCCTATTTTTTCTCTGCAGATTTTCGAGCAATCCCGAAAGCAGGTTTCACTATTCTGAGGATAACCGAGCGGTCAGGATCTGCATTATACCATAAATTTCGGCGGTTCCGAGGTCGGCGCGACAAGTGGGAATATGCAAATTGCAGGGACGAACGCATTGATCATTACCAATCACTGTGCGCGGAGAACATCGGGTTCGAGTCAAATCCTCCTGATTGGTAATCACTCCGTTCACAAGCAAGTGTAATCCGATTTGGATCTTGGCAGGGAACAAGGTGGGATTTTCCTCTTTGTCGAATTTGGACATGCCATTGATCGCCGAAATGGGCCGCTAGTGCATGAATAACAAATATCCTAAAAGGCGTCGTTAATTCCAAGAATGAATAATTCGAGCCGCGACACATCGAGACGTCAAATCTGGCCAAGACACGAGACATGCGTCGAGGTCCTTAAATCGAGATTAATTAATCATTTCTTTCGTGGGCATGTGCCTCGCTGTCATGTGAAACGAGCCTTACGACGTGCCGTCCCTTCGACATTAATAGCTCTGATTTATAAGAGCACCGAGCTCAATTAAACCGAGCTCGACCGGACCGACGAAATAAAAATTCCAGCCCGAATGCCAGTCTCTACGTGTCTGCCCTGTTAAATAGGTTTACAAGTTTATTACGCGTTTACGACAATACAATCGCTGTTAAACTCCTCTAGACTCTTTTAAAGCCCGTCTCTCGAATGTGCGTGCAAGAAGTATTCCTACATTATATTCGGACGTGTACTATTAATACACCAGGCGGTGTATACGGTCGATTCCGTGGTTGTGTTGAGAACTTGGATGATTTATGACAATTCTTGCCCTCTCACGCCCTCGGGATTATTCGGGCAATCCTTGGATCCCTTTAAATCCCAGGATCGTCCCGGCGAATTTGGCCGACCAACCCTTCCCGATACGTTCTGCCAATGCCAACAAAACTCGCGGTATGTTCCACTCCCCCGAAGAGACTTATTGAAACACATTTGAAGGCCAGTATCGTATTCACAGAGAAATACCCCACATTAAAAAGAAAATCTCTCCGTTGATTTTATTTCCAAATTACCTAGATTTACCGAAAATATTTAAATGACATTTTTCAAATGAGTGCCGATCATTGGATTCGTGCCCCGTGTATTTTTTTTTCTTCTAATTTTATTTCTTATTGCCTGATAAATATTTCTGCGTCTGCAGGTTAAGAGGTGATTAAATCGCACTGGCAACTACCCTCATATTTTTCGATAAAAAATCGAATTTCACCGAATTTACTTATAATTATGCTCCCCCAAATATTTCTTGCTCGCCCATAAATATTCCCGCGCCTGCGAGAAATATCTTCGCGGTTATTTGTTACGTTAGGTAGTTGGCGGAGTATCTCGGGAACGTTTGAGAATATCTATCGGGCATGGTGAGTGAAAAGTGAAAATATTTACGTAATCCACTCGAAGGGCGGCGCTGGAGGGTAAGCGCGTGGCGCCGGGTCGCTCGTTCGTCCCTGGGCGATCAACAAGTAGTTCGGCCGAGCGGTGGGGAGCGACTGTTTGTACACCGTGACGGCGCGAGTGGGAGCGAGCGAGAGGGCGCGCGGCGGCGGCGGGGCGTGCGAGAGAGAGGGGGCGCCACGGCAGGCAAGTAGGCAGGGCGAAGCGAACGCACGGCGTCCCGCGAGTTCAGTCGGGTAAGCGCGTCCAGCAGAAGTAAGTGGATGGTCCGCGCGCGCGTTGGCGGCAGAGCTGGGAGCACGGCGACAGGTCGGCGGCGGTCGATCCCGATTTCGCGTCACGGCCGATCGATCGTGGATGAGTGCGTGGCGAGAAGTCGATCGAGACGAGGCAAGTCAGCACGCGAGGCGATCCCAGGGATGTTGCTCGGCGCCGGCCAGTAACGGTTCGCGCGCCTCGCAGTGGTGCAACCTAGGTTAGGGAAGTTGTTTCGAAAGTGTATCGGGGAAAGTGGGCATTAAAGGCCACCCTGGAAGAGGATGCGTCCCGTGGCAGGCGCGACCGGGCCCCGGCAAGGACCCGCCGGGGCGAGGCAGCTTCACCTCGTCGTAACCTTGCTCCTGCTCGCCGCAACTCTCGGTAAGGCGACCGTAGCTGCGCGCAGGTAGATGCGCGTGGGAGAGACCCGCATCGGCCGCCGGGGCTGTCGAGCGAGGCTCGGCGCATGCGCGGGGGCCTTACCTGCCTCGGCGAGTAGCCCTCGAAATCAAAGATGGCGGCGCATCGGCCGCCGGGAAATCGCCTGTCTGGGAATTTTCGACGGTCCCTGGCTTGCCTACGAGCCTCGTTTTCGAGATTCGAGTGGATATTCCCCCCCGCCATGGTGGAGATTACCGACACTCGGAGTCCCGTAGACCTAGATGCTCTGGACTCCGATTTATCGCCCCTCGAAATTGCGAACGGGAAAGGACCGACTCCTCTTTCTTGTCCCCGCGTGCCGGCTGGCTGGACGCGGGGTCGGCTCGACCCGGAATATCAAGTTTGATTAAATTTTGCAAAGTTCTCCCCGATGAGAGCGGGCTGGGACGATTGGTGGCCCCCTCGTTTGCGCGAACACGCGGGTTGCATTTTACTCCGCGCACTCGGACCGCTCCGAGGGACAAAAAAGGTGGCCACATTTTCGCTCCCTTTGTTCGAAGTCGAGGTATATTTTGGACGTTTCGGTGTTTATTCAGAGCTCAGGTATGCCGGGATATGCCTATGCGTGGCCGTGGAGCTCTTTGTGCGCGGGCCTTACCTGGCGGCCCGATTAGGCGGAAAAACATGGCGGCCGTTGAGCCTCGGAAATCTCGACGGCTGACCACCCTCTGACTCATCTCGCGTTTTCGAATCGTAACCGGCGCTTGCGAAGGGAAATACGTGATAAATTACGCGGGCCCTTGCGCGCTCGATTTCCGGTTAGCTCGATTTTTGGGCACGTTCGGTATCGGTTACCGGAAAAGGAAAAAAAAAAGGAATTAGAATTTCTTGCGTGGGCTGGAAAGAAAAATTCCGTTTCCATTTTTCTTAAGAAACGTGGGAGCGCACGGTGCGCCGAGTACGCCGAGCGTACTATAATCTTATGCAGGCGTACCCAACGGGGCCTTACGCGCACCGGAGAAAGGCATTGTCTGCTCTCCGCTTCTTTTTTCCTATTTTTTTTTGTTTCTCTCCTACGCTAGCCGTCAGGTGCGTTTGCTTTCGCAAAAATTATGATCTAACAATTCTTCCCTGGCAAAAATATCGAATGTTCTCGATGATGTCCACATGTGTGAATATTATAATTTAATGGTTTAAGGAGTTATTCTTTAATAATTTAATGATCTCCAAGATGACGGAGAGCCCGTGACGTGAAACGGAAAGAGGTTCTGCGCAATCGAAGATGAAAAAAGAGCTCGCGATTAGGGTGACTCATAGTTCGAAGAAAGCGCCAACCGTGAGGCATACTTCAGACATGTACTATATATATGCAGTTTCCTCAGTTTCTAAAAAAAAATTATCCGAGCCAATATTTTCGAGGGAAGGAGATCCATCTTCTGAGAGTATACGGTAAGTGTGTATAGTGGAGTTCGGTATTGGATTATTTAAAGTTTCGGTTTTTTGAAGGCGAAGCTCAGAGTGACGTCACGAGCGAGGCAGGGATAATTATGCACTGAGAAGAGTAAAGTTGGTTGACTCAGAGAAATGTGCACTGCTGCGAGAAAATCCCGCGATCAAATACGGCCAAAGGGATGTCAGGAGGAGTAAAGAAAAATTCGTATAAATTAACGATGTAATTTTTCTTCGCGACGAAACCATTGTCCCTTGCAATTGTATATATGATTCAGGTAACGATACACACACACACACACACACACACATATATATATATATATATATGTTTAAAAATATATGCTAGCAATATATATTTGTTTCAGTCAACTAATCTTTTCTTCCAGTGCAGAAAGAAAAATGGCGAAGGGATAGCCTACTCGATAATCTGAGCCTAGGGGTTTCACTGTTTTTCACGACTTTACGGGGAAATATCCGAAAAGAAGGGTTTTGCGAAGGTGCATCGGTCGCGTTACGCCTTTGGTCTGGTGGATTTGAATTAATGGCGGCGTGGGACAGAAGGGGGGCCGGGGACCGTCATGGCGGACGCGGCGGTTACAAGGACGGTTAGCCAAGTTTACGGACTTGCCGTGGGAATCGAAGAGAGGGTGAATTGTAAAACCGTCCTTGAGCGGTCTTAGGACACGTTCAGCCGGGATCTCGCGATTCCTATTTCAGGGATTTACGTAAAGCCCGCCTGCCGCGACAATTGCGTTTACGTGGACGCCCGTAAACACGCCCGGTTTTTGACTCGGCGTGACTTTAAACACGTCGATGCGGATATCTCAGGTCGGCCGGGTTTAACGATCTCCTAGAGCTAAGAGAGGTGCTGGTCGAAGCGACGGGGCCCTAACCCTCGTATTGTCCGTAATCCGTGAATAATTTCGAAGCGATTAGCGGCCTCTATACGGTCCCTTTTTAATCCTTCTTTTTTTTTTTTTTTTAAACAAACTACGCGACCAGCCGCGCGGACGCCGGGAATTAATCGTTAATCGGGCGTCGCGTTTGGGAGAGACCTTTCATGGCGGTTTTCACCGCGTTAATTGAACGCGTCAGGAAACACGGGAAAAATCGGGTCGAGGGCTGGTATATTTTTTCCTGTTTTTTTTAAATATTTTTTTCACGATTTTTCTGAATTTTTCTCTCCAGCGGTCACCTATCCCTATTGTTGACCGCGGCCGAGGTCGCTTAACCCGGAGGTCGCGCCAGGTGGGGAGGGAGAGGGCCCGTGGTTCGCCGAGAAGCGAGGTTAGGTCTCCGGGGTCGGGCCCGGCGGACATCTTGGAAGGGCCCGAGTCGAGGTGGAAGGGGATCGCTCCTCTCGCGCAGGCGCGGAGGTTTCGTGAATTGTGGAACTCCGGGATACGGGGCCCCTTTTTGTTTTTTTGTTTTTTTTTCGACACCGAGTCAGCTCTTGGGAACTGTTTAACGTTTCAGTTTGGTATATGAATTCAACGGCTCTGGGGTGATACATTTCTTAAGAAGTCGGAGGAAATCGGGGAAAAATAGTAGGGAACAGTTGAAAACCCCCGGGGCAGAAGTTTGATTAAATTTCATGCCGGCGTAATTGCTCTTTACGGGGGGGCGCATCGAAAAGGGGTACCGGGACACCAGAGGGGGCGCACTCGACTAGGGGATAACTCGGGTTCCGTAGTCGAGACTCGCCCGTTAAAGAGGCATCGCGTCGCCTCGTTTCTTTGAGACCCGGCTTAGGGTCGCTCTTACTTTTCCTCGGGGAGCCTCGTAGAGCTCAACTTTACGAGCCTCCGCAACATGGCGTCGTCCCGGCCATCCCTTGCTCTCCGCTTACCGAAGGGGGGGTGGGTGGGTGGGTGGAGGAGAGGATGCGGCGTAATTGTAAACTCGCGATGCAGGCGATTTTCACGGATACGCGGTCTTTCCACGGGGGGGGGCCAGAATGCGCCGCCGCGATCCCGATGCGTTACGGCGCGTCCCTAACGAGCGGAAAACGACGCCTTTTGTCCCGGAAACTCGCGGCTTACCTTTTCCCGGGGCGAGGATCGCGACCGATCACGATCCGAGGTTCCGGACTAGCAGTACCTCGGGGATAATTTCCCGTAGAGGAGGAAAAAGGAGAGGAGCTCCCAGATTGCCCGGAAAATCACCGGCACATAGACACTCCGCGACCCCGGGGCTTCTGTTTAGAACACCGGGATTTTTTTTTCGTTTTTTTTTTTTTTAACGGAGATCATTAGCCACGTATCATCGTAAGGTCATTATTCACGGAAGATGCGGTGGTAGACGAGAAGAGGTGGATTAACAAATAGGAGGAATTACGAATTTCCAGTAAAAATCCCCCAAACGTATCAATTGAGGGATGTTCATAAAATCGGAACTTTTGTCCGGGGTTATTTTTATCCCGGGGAAGGTACACGGATAGATCCAAGGAGGTGGGAAATGTGGGACGCCGTCCAAATTGCCCGGAAAATCGGCCATACGTGATCCGACCGTGGGACTCCTCAAAGGATAGCCCGGAAAGTGCGAATTTTCTCTCGAGGTGATTATTATTCCTATCGTACGTGTAAGGAGGTGGCGTAGGGGTGATTTCAATTTCGCCCTCGATTTTCGGGCCGGCGGAGAGATTGAGATCGATTTGGATTAATACAGGCGGCACGTGCCCCGCCCGCGGAGATGGGGATTCGATTTTGCCCCCTCCCCCCGACATGTCGGGTCGCGGTGTGTGCGACGCGAGATTTGATTTGTGAGGAAGGACACGCTCAACGGGGAAAACAAATGGCGAGAGGGAGGATAACGCGATTCCGGAGGGCCCAGAGACAAAGGAACTCGGCATCGCCGTTGGAAATTATCAAAACTGGCGCCCCCCACCGTGTCCGTGATTACGAAATAACGGCCCATGTTTATGGCCTTTGAAAAAAAAAAGAAAAAAAAAATATGTTCAGGCCCACCCTCCACGAGAAAATATGGAATTCTTCTGGTTAGGCCTAATTTTTTTTTGAGGTTAGCTTTAACGACCCCGTTGGGCTCGGACTCCGGCTGGGACGCGGAACGGCCGCAGGGCCGCACGTGCGGTACCGTTCTCCCACCCACATTTCTCCCACATATAAGTAAATCGGATTTTATAGCATTTACAAAATAATTTAATTCGGTACTATTCCAAGGAATATTTCTTTGGCTCGATGAAGGTTTTTTGCTTTTTTTTTTTTAAGTCTAGGTGTCGAGCGGAAGCTGCCAAAAAATAAGGGGGCACCGGTAACCGGCCAGCAAATTCGACGCCTGGCTAGCGGAAAGCCGTTTTAAAATCAATTTCCATCGTTCGAATTTTCATCGTGGTTTGTTCCTTTTTTTACATTTCTTTTTGTTTTCGTTTTTTCGTCCCCCCCCCCCCCAAGGTTTGCATACACGCTCATCGAATTTGACGGCCGGTTACGTGTGCCCGGGGTAAAGTTTTTAGTCTCCCGAGCGAGCGCCCTCCTTTCGCCCCGCGCTAATCCCGTTTTAATACCCTTCCCGGCTCGTCCCCGGATTTA